GAGTGATCTGTTCATGTTCAAAATAAACTAATAATTCATCATTTTGAAGTTATTTATTACTGAAATCAAAGGCTGACAGCCCATGAACTCAAGCCAAGAGTTATGATTGCCACTACACTTCCAATATTTAAACATTGTACAACTGCGAAGAAATTAGCTACAGTAGTACCTTGACGTTTTGGACGCAATGATGATTTCCGGATGGAATTCGTTCGTGATCGAAATAAGCTCTGCCTTCTTCTCAAGTTAAACCGCAAGCCTGAAATAACGAATGAATCTGTTACAATAACACAATAATATGTGCATGCCTTATAACTCATTACAATTGTTTATGCTGATGAAATTTAGAGATGTTCTGACTTTACGCTGCAAATATTGAAACGGGAATTTGCGCTTTATTGATTCGTTTTTTATGAGGTTACTTCATGAATAACTGGAAGGCAGAAAAAGAATCTTACCAATCGGAGAAAGTTATACTATTATATATCTGTGGTGTGATGTGTAACATAAGCCTAATCTAAGTTACAAATTTTGAGCTTTTGGGGTTCTAGTTTTGAATTTTCGCTGCAGCTATGCCACAGATTATATTCCCTCAGTTTATATCTCTTCTGTAGATTGAGAATCCTCATTTATGACAGACTGGGTCGTCCTTCTAGCGTTTCCAGAAAAAAGGCGAATCAGTTACTACTTGTTCAACCGACCGCCAAAGACCCCAGGGTCGGCCAAGAATAACCTGGGGCAAGAGTCTGTAAGGACATTGCTCAAGACATGTACCATCTTTTGCTGAAATTCACACGATGGCACAGGATCAGTGACGTCGGCTACATTGTCTTATGTGCCTGCTTCCAAACCCAAAATGACAAGCAGCCATCGAAAATGATTGTCTAACCACATTCACGTCAACTACGGAGCTTCAGCCATACGTACAATTCTTTCATGTAACCTTAAATTCATGGGGCCAAACACAGCAGCTTGTTTTTCAACATTTAAGGATATAATAGATGTTAGAGGAGCTCTAATTTTTCTCTTCTGAATTTTCTTTATTTAATTAAGGGTGATTAATACAACCTAATGGAATGCTAGTAAGGTACAAATTACTCTAAATGAAGTTTCAGCACATCCATTAATAATGAAAGAGCAATTTTTGACTTTGTTTAACCTTATTCATAACTACCACTGAATACTCAATTTGTCCATAGCAGAAATTTGTTTATTACCAATTTATCCACGATGAGAGATGTTTATATACCAACAAGAATGAGGAGTACGAAGCAGGAACGAAATAAACAACCAAGCTGAAACCTTTCCCTTTTTGCTGCTCTACAGTGAATTTAATTTCTTTGTTTATATCACAAAGAGCAACAAGTATTAAAGTAAGGGTTTAAATTAGAGTAGGATTTTCTCAGACACGAAGCCCTATGGTAAATTCTGAAACAGGCAGCTAACAAGGCAGTGGCAATCAGAGCTAAACTTCCTTAGCGCTTTAAAGTGAGCCTGCCTAATTTCAGTTTCAAACATTGGTAGAGAATTGTGGATTATCATCCGTATTAATCAACAGGAAATCTCAACAGAACTTCCTTTGATATCATCTTCCGTCTGAACAGAGGGTGACAATGATAAATAAGACGAAAGCAAAGTTCATATAACGTTGGATAGATACATACATTCACTTCATTCATGTAATTTAGAAGGTCATGACCAAAAAAATCTTACCTAACACCGGCACTCAAATTTTTCTGACATGTTTTCATCACTTTGTTACAGAATATGGCCCTTGTGATTTTTCCTGTGAGTGAAGGTAGTAACTTAGCTGTTAAATCTGGTTCCTTGCTAATATCTAACGAACCATATTCACTCACATCAATGACTTATACTTCCATTCTAATTGAAAATGACCAGTCATTCACTATAAGGAAGCTTTCTACGTGTTATCAAATTCTGATACGATCAGTGATATTGCAGAGAGGAACTTCAGCGGTAAGATGGCTCATGACTTATGTTCCACAGTAGCATCTTCGTTGATTCGTCCAATTTTCATCTGTACATATGCTATGAATATCTGTCGTGTTTTATTTTTATCCAGTATATGGAAGGCCTAGACGGCTGATCGAAGTTAAGTTCGTTGGACTATGTATTAAATGTTGATTAGGAAGGATGTTAGGTTTCCATAATGCATGCCTGTTTTACCTGTTGGTGAATTGGCTCTGGCCTCCTGAAACACTCCTGAAAGACTTTACTTCAATCCTTGCGAAGATTTGGTTTTTCAGTCTAATAGCACTGCAACAGTATTTTGAGGTTCTCCTGTGATTTCGTGACTCTTCTTTGAGTACATCTTGTTTTAATTAATGTTGTTTATAAACAGTTAAATTAAAATTGGGCACATCCATTGGCATAAAAATTATTTATAAGTGCTTCTGCCCATCTCAATCGATTTGTATGTTTAACAAACTTTTCTTTTCGCCTCCAATACCAGAATCGTCGCGGTTTGAATTTGAATCAGACGACGATTCGTTTTCATCGGCCGTGCAGAAGCTTATTCGTTGTTCGTTCTGACTATCTGAAAGCAAGATTTAAGTGCACTCACACACTACCACATAGAGTTCGAATTTAACGCACATCTTGAAACGCCGAGAGGTAAATCGGATATGCTTTGTGCGCTTCCGCTATGAGTAGACGTGGAGAACACCGCACTCAATACCGAACAGCGTCGCTGAGAGCTCATCTTTTCTGACTTACACACCTGTCGAGAATGCGACACTTTCTTGGTGATGCTGGGGTAGGTTTCACAGAGAAAAGTGGTGATTTCCAGCAGCAGCATGACGGCAATCAGCTTCAACGCGTTTGGACATTCGTCACCTGTTTTATTGACGACACCTGCAATTGTTCACAGAACGATAAGCATGAATTTGTGAGTGAATGCAGAGCAAGACATCTACTTTCATCGAGGAAATCCTCCAATTCGTCGTTTATTCTCAGTTCTATGCGTTTCTGCTCATCAAAATGACCGGTCATCGGGGCCTTTTCCTTCTCGGAATCCAGGATCTCGACGAGACGCGCGTTGATTGCCTTAAAAGACAATGTGTCATGCAACCGGCCAAGCAAGGTCAACATAGGCACCTCTGCCCAATGGTAGAACAGCTTGCCAGCGGTCTTTTGAATTTTTAACGTTGCGCGCAAGCCTGAAGGTGTTCCACGACCGAGGGGAGCCGACGTTGCTTTCATGGGCATTCCAGAGCGAATCCATTCAGGCCACTGTCCGCGGTTTAGGCGATGAACAAAATGTGATACTTCGAGAAAGATCATCGCCCTGGCAACCACTGGTCCCTTCTAAATTCCGGTGTTGCTAACGTAATGCTTAAAGCCGTGACGTCGTTGATTTCGTAACGTACCAAATCTAACAAAGCACCTAGTAGCGGCGCATCAGGAACCAGGCCAGGCTGACAAGTTTCCAAAATGAACTCCAATCGTTTAGCCCCTTCACGCACGGTATCTGTAGATATTGGCTGTTGCAACGGAATGTGCAGGTTGTCTATGAACTCTTTGTTTCTCGCGTCTAAATAATTCGATCGTATCAACTACTGCAGCGAGAAGAAGGTTACAACCTTCGGCTAAGGTTTCGCCGGATCGCTTATATACAGCGCGTGTCATCGTTCTATGGTTGGAAACGTGTCCCTGAAGAATCAGAATCAGTGAAAGTGCACTTAAGTGAAAAGGAAGAATACCACAGTTAATAAAACAACAGTTGCTTAAACATTAAACATAAACAGAAATACACACCTTACTGTGACTTTACTAGTTTTTGGTAACATCGGTTATCATGACATAAATGAGCGGCATGCGGTGAAGATTCATGAAGATTCTTTAGATTCACACGGTGAAGACGCATTACCCCATCGTTTCTAGCTGCCGAGGCGACCTCTTAATCAGGATACTGATAAACCGTATTACAACATATGTAATGCATGGAAGCAAGCGGCATCCATCTGTTGGGTCGAATGGAAAAATTATCGAACACTATTTTACCTCGAATCCGTATGCATATACAGTAATATAATTCTCAATACAGAGAGTTCATGGAAAGACGTAAAATGCACGTTGATGTTTCAACGACCCAACCATAATGGCAATGTGATGCGTCGTTTGTGTGTTGTTTGGTGTTGATAAACGCTGATAAAATAGCCGAAATCTTGGTCCTGATATAGAAATTCTTTCTGCGTATATAAGGTGAATAAAGCGTTTGAACTTACTCAAGAATGATGCGTAATTCAAAGCAACTTTTCATCTATTTGTGCGATCCTCGTGACGAGAATGGGTTGAGCACTGACGAGTGCATAACGTGCTGCATACAGTATCTTCTCGGACTTCCACTTGATCCTGACCCCAAACTGCGATTCTGTAGCACCATTTTATCTTAGCAGCTATTATTCTTCCTCATAATGCAGCTAAGATATTGCGGTGCCTTCGCTTCTGTATTTTTTAAGGAACGGGTATTGAGTGCCAAGTTGTCTTAAGACCCATGCGCCACTTGTAAAGTTTTACCACTAGATTTGCAATATTTTCCTGCCATTCAATATCTCGAGCGTCTTACCGGACCGCGCCATGCCTTCTCGATGATTCAGCTTTCACACCCGTTGGTTGTAACGGACCAAATCAAAAGCTTATAAGCCTCAGCCAAAACATAATCCGGATGTAGCTACTACTTAGTAGCTTTCAAATTCCGCCAGTAGTCATTACTTTTCAATTTGATGCCGAATTCACTCGGCGCAATTGAACAGCCCATTGAATCTGGTCTTCTAGAAAGCAGCTACCTCGTAGTATTTGAGTTTCCTGCTGTTCATATATCTACCGCAGAGAGTGGTACATTGGTTAGCGTTTAAACGCGCCCAGGTTCATTCTAACTCAAGTATGCGATGCTGGATTCAATGCACAGCAGAGAAAACTACCACAGGCCGTCGACCGCGCAAATGCCCCCTCTAGGCGTCTAGGAAAAATGGCGATATGTTCTCCAGCTGAGTAAATCAGGCATTAGAAATTGAATAATAGCACTTGGAGAATTTCCCCCATATACTGCTCAAACTTGTAATGCACAGCCTAGCGATTCTTCAGTCTTGCTACCATTGCTGTCATTCGAAAAGGAACCGACGCATGAGAACTTACATTAACTACAGAAATATCAGGTGAATGATAGATGAAACTGTTAACTCGCAATTTTGAGGTTGCCTCTCAGCTGAAGTAACTATGCTGTAGATATCGCAACAAGTACTATATCTAACAGTTAACAGCTTTGTGGTTGAATGCTCACTAATCTGAAACCTCTGATATAACATTCCAAAGCGGAACTCTTCACTGTTTGACAGAGTACTTTAATAGAGCCGTGACGCATAACGGGCCAGTCAATCAGAAGGTTCGCCAAGAAATTATGAATT